AGTAAAATTTTTAAAATAGAATGACACTTGGGATAAAAGTGTGAAATTAATGATTTAAAATGCTTAACTTGAGTGATTAATTTAGTAAATCAAAGGTTAGAGCGAGCAGTGCTATATATATATATATATATATATATATATATTTTTTCATAATCAAAGGTTAGAACGAGAAGTAATATTTTTTTTTCATATTTTTTGCTCTCACATAGGTGCCATTTAGATTTGAGACGTCTTTGAAAGTTTGTTATGTAGAGGGATAGTTTTCCAGTTTTGTCATATTCTATATTTGTTTTAAACTAAAATTGATGAATATAAAAAATAATTTATTTAAACATATTAATTTTTATAAAAACTAAAATTTCATTAATTTGAAAGTAAAATTATAATAACACATAAAAAAAGAAAAATAAAATATAGATATTAAAAATACGAAACATGGACCAAAGAGCTTGTAATCAGCGGTATCATTTGTTGTCCTTTTACTTTGAGGTTGAGGGTTCAAGTCCTTTCGTGAATATATATAGAATTAATGAGTAGTTCAGGAGTAGATTGGATTTTTCGTTAATATATATATATATATATATATATATATATATATATATATATATATATATATATATATATATATATATATATATATATATATATATATATACACACACACACACAAAACATGGATATTAAAACTACAAAAAATAGATAAACCTACACTTTTTTTTTGCAATCACGTCTTTAGCGTTTAACACCAATTCTTTTTGGTGTCCGATAAGATTACTAGTATCTTTCATGAAGATTTCCATGTCTTAGTTTTTTTCCATTTCTTTTACAACAAACAAATATTGCTCACAAATAGTTTTTAAGTTGTCCATCCTGGTCATTATTTTTTCGATGTCACTCAAACTACTTGCAACCCCTTTACTCTTTCATTTTGTTTGGTCTCGTCTCAAGGGACGAATATTTCTTGGAACCTCAATAGGCTCATCTTCGTTGATGTCAGTCTCGACATACACATTCAACGATTGTCTAAGAATGGTTTCATATGTTTTGGTTCTTTTAGAACCACATGTAAATGCATTCTAAGTTTGGATATCTTACCACTTTTTCAACTCTTTTTCAATATTCCACAAATGAAGAAATTTGAAACGTGTCCCTTTATCAGTCTCGTAAAGTGCTAAAACCTTCTATGATATTGTTTCATCGTTCGCACGACTTTGCCACTGCAGCTTCTCCCTCACAAATATTGTGTTAAACTCCATGACAACTACGTTGGTGTTACTCCACTGCGAATAGACTTGATCTTTTTTCGGTAGACTCTAGGTTTCATTTATGAGAGAAAACACCTAAAAACTTTTTGGGAAAAAGTAGACACATCTTGGTTGTTCCCAAATTTTTTAGTATTCTGAAACCTCTACCCATGCATGAGCGAACGTCACTTTTTCCTCTGATGTCCAATTCTTTGTAGGTGCATTTCTTTTTGTATTGGGTTCCGTTTGAGGTTGAATCTCTTCATACTTGGAATCCATTTCGGGTATGATTCGAGTTGAGAGTTAGTTTGAATTGGCTTTGGGTTTGGGATTGGAATTAGAATTGACAGTCGTGCAGGTTGTCAAATGCATTGAACTCATTTCCTGGTTCGGATCGCACTTGAAATTGAAATTGGAATTAGGGTTAAGATTGAGATTGAAACTAGGTTTGGGTATGCATAGCAGCATAGGATATGGAGTGTAGTGCGCACCATGATAATGATAGTTTGTAGGTAAATAAATAGTCTAACAATTTGATTTCCAAAGAAGGTATGTGAGGAAGGGTTTGAAGTGGTTAGGTTTTAGGTATTTTTCTTTATTCTTGTTGGAGTTTTTGGGTTGGATGAGGAATTAAAGGAAAGGATTTTTTCACAAAATAAGGAGTGTGTTATAAAATAAGATAGTTATTGTTATTTATAAAGGTTGAAAAAAGGTTAAAATATTGAAAATTTTATGGAAAAAACGTTATAAATATTAAAATTTTATTCTCTTTCTCTCTCATTAGAGCACACTTGTCGATTTAGGGCACCAAACTCGACATGTCGAGTTTGTAGCATTGTATTTATGGAGTACAGCTCGAATGTGTCGAGTCCATATCGAGGCCAATTCGTCCAACCTAAGATATACAAATGGAAAGAAATAATGTATTCAAGTAAATATACAATTTTCAATGTAGAAGTTGGGTCAAGTGAAGACTCTAAAATAAGTAAGGAATGTGAGTATAAATTTTTGCCACATGATTGAAAAAATAAAAGATGTAGATGTGATTTTATTTATCGCCACTATCTCGTGAGACAATATGACGTTTTAGTAATTATGTAGGAGATATTTGTCATTAATTTGTTATGATCTAAAAATATTTAGATTTAAATATTTGATAATCATTAATTATATCTTTTATGATTTAAAACTCAAAATATATAAAGATCCATATTTTTTTGAACAAAAACTTTATTTAATTAAATATATTATTGATTCAAAATCATATTTTTCAAAAATGATTTGATTCAAAATATTATGATTTAAAATATTTTGATTTTAAATTTTATAATCTAAAAATAATATGATTCAATAAAAGTATAAACGGGGAAAATATTAAGATCCTTGATATTATTATTATTTAAAATTTTAAAATTGTTAAACATAAAACTCAAATCGATATTTAGTTAAAAAAAATCAAAAACGTAAAAACATAAATAAATAAAAAGACTAGTATCTTCAAGTATAATATATATATATATATATATATATATATATATATATATATATATATATATATATATATATATATATATATATATATATATATATATATATAACGAAAAAAACAAAAAAGGCGAAAATAAATGTTAAAACCCACTTAAATGATGTTTATGGACGTCGCACGTGATTAAATATTCAAAATTCATATTAATTGCCACGGAGGTGTGTTGCAAGCAAACATACTACAACAAAATATTGAGTTTGATGTTTGTGTTTTTAATAAAATTGGTGGTAGAGAATTTCTTCAGCCTTTTCATTATTTTTTTAGTTTTTATTGGAACCGGACCCTTTGGTTATATTAATAAAAGTTTAAATACAAAATGTAGTAATTGCTTACATTTCAAAAGTCAAACCCTCTAAGTCAAACCTTCTATAAAACGTAAAGTTGGGTAAACTTTAGAAATTCTAATATTACCCTGATAACGTGAGAAGTATTTTTGAGAAACTTTTTCGAAACATAAATTTAAGTTGAGAAATTAAAGATATTTTTATATTTTTTTCCTATCCGTATTAAATAGTGTATGTTAAATAGTGAGAAGTTAATTAAAAATTTGATTGAATGTTTGGAGGTTCAATTGTAAGAATGTGTGCGTAACAAAGTCAAAATTTTGATTGAATCTATAATTTTCACCATACCACTAGTTTACTCTAAATATTATGTGGTATATTAAACGTTATATTTTAATAGGTCGTAATGTCTACTAGGTAGTTATATACTCACCAGTCAACATTCATAACAATCTCAAATATAACATGTATTGACTTGATGTGAATGAAAAATTACAAGAGATTGAATTCTCCCAAATACCCACTATCAAGAGTTTTGATACATATGACATAACGTGTGTGCAATAAAAAAAAAAGGACATTTAAAGTAAAGACATTTCTTTATCTCTAAGGACTCACAAAATGACTTGTTTTTCTTGCCTAAACATTAAAGGAATTTATCGAATAAAAAATGTATATAGATGGATTGCGATTCAAGATTTCTTCAAAAGAATTTTAATTAAATATTTTGATTTCAATACAAGTAAAGTAGCTTAAACAAAAAGAACATTATAAACAAACATTGGACGAATGAAACGTTTTCTGTAATATTCTAAACCATACAAACTTAGGAGCATATGATGATATTATTTAATTTAATTATTAATTAATCAATATGTGCTTAAACGTGCGAAATTATTAAAAGTTATTAGGTTACTTATGTAATAAGGTAATGTTGGTTTTTGTACCATTTAAATATGTTTTATTATTATTATTATTATTATTATGATTATTATGATTATTATTATTATTATTATTATTATTATTATTATTTATTTATTTATTTATTTATTTATTTATTTATTTTATATATGAACTAGCAAGAAGTCAGCATAAATGGATTACAAAGTAAAAAGAAAAAAGATTAATGATAATTGCGTTAGATATATTCTTTTGAATAGCATTCAAAATAGACATATATGTCCGACATATAAACATAGACGTCTGTGGTACAAGACAAATCCCACTGAACACCTGTAAAATTTAAAATCTCAATCGTAGATATAAAAAAGACCAATAAAATGATGCATAGTCTCCAATGAGAAAAAGTGGATAAAACATAATGTGGAGTGTAAATTAATCCGTACCATTTACGTCAAACTTAGCATGTATAGGGTCTTATTTTGTACAATCCTCCAAACCAAAATATTTAGCTCTATTGGAACGTAATTATTCCATCACGTAGCTACTCCAATTGTAACCAACATACCGTTATCCAGAAAACTTGTTGTAGAAGAAAACATGAAGACACTCGAGGAATCTCACGACAAAGTAGAGGTGATTAACACAACATGTGGGCAAGAACCCGTAGACCGGATAACAAACACCGAAGCATCTCACTACTAAACCTCATCAGCTCCTCTCGGCCATCTTTTGAGGGAAATTAGGTCCAAATGCAAATGCAAAAGCTAAGAAACCATGCATTGTGTATTAAATTCCAATAACCACAGTAATATTTGGTACTTTGGTTATCCCTACTTTGATCATATGGAGGTCTTGCAGATTAAGATCTTTAGACCGAAGTTATTTAACTACCCAAACTAAGGTAGTCCAAGGGCCAGTGGAACCATACTTATGGTCGGCTTGAGCAAGCAAACCGTACTGACCACGCAACACTTTAATAACCTTGACCAGCATTGCATTCTTTTGTTTACAAAATCATCGCCACTATTTGAACAAAAGCACCATATTGAAAGAGAAAATACTCCCAACTACAAGACCACCATTTGCTTTGTTGGCCAATATTTTTTTCCTATTGACCCACGGCGCACTACAAAAAAAAAATACCAATTAGTGACAAAAACAAAACGGTCACTAACAATAGAATGAATCGTCAATAAATGATTTAGTAACCAAAATTTTGGTCGTCACTTTTCGTCACTATAGGTCCGTCACAAAACCGATTTAGTGACCAAATACAAATATGGTCACTAAACAGTGACTAAAATATACTCGTCACTAAATCTGTGACGACCCATTTCATCACTAAATGTTGTCACTAATCAATGAAAGTCGTCACTATTTTATCTACTTAGTGACCAATAAAAGTCGTCATTGTTTTATGTGATTAGTGACCATAGAAAGTGGTCACTGATTTATCTAATTAGTGACTATAACAGGTTGACACTGATTTATCATATTAGATAAAAAAGGGGTCAATAATTAAGAAATTATTGAAATATCAAATGTCATTTTTAATATGAAATATAACAATATCCAATTAGACAAAAGAAAAATCAATCTTATAATTTTTTACAATACAACAACAATAACCTTATAAATCTTCACAATTATAATATGAAAATTAAATGTCATTTTTCAAATACAAAATCTATATATTTTATCCAATATTTTAAAAACAAACACACATAGAGGTGAAAGCTGAAAGTTGCAAGGGATGAGGTTCTTCTGTGAACGATGATTCTCAAAAGGTAAACATCTCTTTTTTTCTCCTCTCTCTGTTGCACACAATCTTTATCTAGTTGGTATCACTACCAAAATAAAAATAAAAAATAAAAAGAAATGTGTATGTGTGTGAGGATACCTTGATTAAAGCTTCTAGTAAGTTTTTGGCTTGATCAAAGATTGTGTCTCACCTGATTGACAAATAAAATGTAAGATTAAGAAGTAGGATGAGACCATATATGGGTGAAAAAGATGATCTGGTGAAGCTTTTCAAATGATTGGACATTGTTTTCTCTTCTTTGCATCTGAAAATATATAAACATTTTTTAATACCTTAGATTATGTAAAAATATGAAGAATTGACAGACTTACCCTTCTTGTATGAAGTCTGTGAGCTTTCTCCCTTGGTCTAAATACATTGTATGGATTGGTGTCATTAACTGGAGGAGGTGGCTATAATAACAACAAAAAAAAAAAATTTGTTTTTTTAACATTTAGGGGCAAAATGGTCATTTGAAAGAGGAAACTAACTTGCAGGTGGCGTAGAACGGGTTTAAGCCATCATGCTCGCTGATAAAAAAGGAACAAATTTGTAAGCAAAAATTAAAAAGCACAAAACCAAGAGTACTAATTATTGTTAAAAATTGAGATACCTTCTCTTTCTAAATTGACTGGAATACCCCATATTGTATGGAAAGAGCTTGAAGGGCCTACCAAGTTGAAAAAAATCCTAAGAGTTATATAAATTGTGATAATATCATAATAATACTAAAAATGAAAAATACCTCTACTACAACATCAAATGTCAAAAGTATAGGTATAGGTGAGCCAAGTGTAGGAGTTATGACTCCTGCTCTTTCATGAGCCTAATGATCCAACACCTTTAAATTAAATATAAGTCTCAAATCTGCCAAAAAAAAAAAAAGAAAAAAAAAAGAAATTTGAAGTTAAACTATGTGTTAGGGAAGAAGCATAAAAGGACTTGTACTTAACAAAGTCTCCAAGTTTAGCTCCTGCTAGAAATATTATGATAATATCAACAAAAATATATTAATGGAGTATGGAGAACGTAAATTATATAACTAAAAATTAAAAGTTTGGAGAATAATCTCTTTCATATGTTTACACAGACAGGTATAAGTTGTAGGACATATAGAAGAAAGGTATTAATGGCCCCACACAAACTTAAATTATTAAAGCTTTCAAGAGAACCTGAAGTTCTAGATATGACCCTCATCTTGTAGCCATCTGAGACTATTTTTCAATTAAATTATTTTTCAATTTTGGTCTTTATTTCTAGGTCTCGTATTTGCTCCACATAATCTTTGATTATAAGGATCAAAATCGATGTGAAACCTTGAAATAAGGACAAAAATCGTTATGGAACCTTGAAATAAGGACAAAAACCGAAGAAGGTTCCAACTTTGGACTAAACACATAAAACAAGAGGACTATTTTGGTAATTTAATGCAATACCAGTAAAAAAGAGTCACATTTTTTAGACATTTTCATAGTTGACCTTACTAACGAGAGAGAATGCAAGTATACCTCAATCTATTATAATCTCCTTTTCCTATTAAGAAAAGTAACACAGTTTTAGCAGAAAAAGATTAAAAAAATGACATACACCAACTTACCAAATATGCACAAATACAATTTTAGCAGCTATAAATGTAGTTGAAGTAACTTAGCTTCCTGATTGTTACCTGCAACATAAGTACTTGACTCAGGCTTAATAGAACTACAAATGCTTCCTTCCATCAGTTTGGCTTAGAGCCAAACAAGAAAATTCAATGTCAAATTGGTTAAATGGAAAAAGAAATATGATATTTATTGAGATGTTCAAAGAGAAATGTTCTTTCACTCTATAGCATGTAAATTAATAATATAGGCAACCAACTTTTATAGATAGGAAAACTTCATCAGCATCTGCAAGTAGCAAATGAACTTCATAAGTTTGATTTTTCCTAAATAATAAAAAAGAAACATCATGTTGCAAAAGTGACAACATGCTGATTTATTTATAGCGAATTACTTGTAGACATGAAAATATGGTAAGTATTTGATGCAAAATTGAGAAAGAACTTACTGAATTTGTTCCAAAGAGTATGTAGCTTGATTAGTATCAAACCTCTTATCATATAATAAAATCGAGAAGAGACTTGACAAAGCCTTAAACCTTTATGAAACACCGTAAAATGTAAAAGTTAAGAGCCCGACCATTTCAACAGGTTTAATCTGAATAGTAAATTGGTGCAAGATTATGTGTACTAATAAAGATTCTTTGTTGATCTTGAATTTTAATATTAAACGTAAACTTCAAAATAGAACATCGATTTCCAGGAACAAAAGATGAACACTTTTTTTTCCCAATTCCATTCATTCATGACTTCAAAAATGAAATCAGATTGAAAAAAATACAAAATGATTAACAGAGACATGAAGATTCCCAATAAACAACATTCTTGTAAGGTAAGAATCGATGAATAAAGAAAAATTACAGACATACGGCTCAAAATATCAAGCGATTTCAATATTCCATGCATGAAATATGAAATAGTAAACCTAAAATCGAAACTTACTTGGAGAATCGTTGATGATGAAGAAGGATGCAAGGCGGGGGATGGCTTATAGAAAAGAAATTGAAAGCTATACCTTGATGGAACAGTATGTTGATGTATTTTGAGTTCTTCAACAATGAAATCAGCAGCGATGTTTGATGTTAGGGCAGGATATTGAGAAGACTTTTGAGATGGAAAGAACTCAGATGCACATACAATGATTGACTGTCATGGGCATCATCCTCGTGACTCCCTTCATAATTGCATCCCTCGACAACCAACCGAGTTCATCTACTTGTTTGTCTCATCTTTCGACGTTTCTTATTCAACCTCCTCATTATCTGTTTCTTCCACTACAAAATAAATACATATATCATCGAGCTATTAAGTTTTAGAGACAGAAAGAGAAAGTTCAATAGAAACAGGAGAAGCGTATGCATCACAATTATATATTTTGCTAACATTCACAAACGTTAAAATTTGAAATTCGGCATCAAAATTCACAAATAAAACCCTAATTTTGAAGAGAAAACTATTTTTTTCCGTTAAAAATTACGGAATGGAAACAAAAACTTTTACATAAGAAGATGTATAGAATAAAAAAAGTTCTTACACCATCTTTGAAGAGACGTGGGAATTTTTGTGTAGATATCGATGTAGAAGAGAAAAAGGAACCATTGTAGTGAGAGAAAGAAGAATTCCTCTATATGAAAATTAGGAGCAATGGTGATTTGGGGAATGCACAGGGGCGGTAGCAAGGAAATGCTTTCCTTGAGAGAGAAAAAGAGACATAGAGCAGCACTTGAATCGTGAGTAATAGAGAGAGAAATAGAGCGGCTACCTATTCATCATAATAATAACCCGAAAAAATAGCACCCTCTAACAAGCTCTTTTAAAATAAGAAACAAAAGCCCCTAAATTACCAAGAATACACCTCACCGCACTTTGCTAAATCCATAAAATCAAGCAAAAATGAATAGGAATTCTCAAACACCCACTTTCCTCAAATTATAACAAAAGAGCGTTTTATATATATATATATATATATATATATATATATATATATATATATATATATATATATATATATATATATATATATATATATATATATATATATTCAGTGACCGCTATTTTATGGTCACTAATTGTTTTTTACTTGTAATTCATCAGTGACGACTATTGAGTGGTCACAAATTGTTTTTTCAATAAAAAAAGAATAGGCATGTGGTTTTGAATAAGAGTAATCCGTGACCACTAATTTTGGTCATTAAACCTCCAATTTACAAGTGACCACTTTTTTGTCACTAAGCTTCTAATATAGTTATCATTATCTTAGTCACTATATAGTTAATATAGTGACCAATATTTTTAGTCACTAATATGAAACAAAAGTAGTTTAATTTTTTTGCGGTTTAGTGACTGTGTTAGTGATGAAGTGGTCATTAAATGTGTAGGATTACCAAAATTCAGTGACCACTTAATTTTTGGTGACTAAAACATGTTTTTAGTGACCGAATTTTAGGTTGTCACTAAAAATTAGTCACTAATAATGACTTTTCTTGTAGTGGCAACTTCCATTTTCCCAAGCCTACCCCTAAAGAAACAATTTTTAATTGAATCTAATAACTTCAACATTGTGTATAGGACCTTGAAGAGAGATATGTAATGCCTATCCAAACAAATCAAAACTGATTTTTGGATGAACAAGGTTGCCTATATTAGAGAGAGCTTTATATTTCCAGATTAGAAAGTTAAGTACAAACTTTTCAACAACACCCTAAAAGATCTTTATACCTAAGAGTCATTATAAAATGATAGTGTTAGATAATATAGGATCCTAAATGATCACACTATCAACAAATTGATACACTTGATTATTAATTAGAATTTGATTTTAATAAATATCCAACAAACTCTTATAGTTAATTGGAAATTATTTATTTCATGGAAATGTTAATTTTCGTTTGAAAGTAGCATACTATATCATATGGTATGGTTTATTAAGTCACATACAATATTTTAGACTAGAACGAAATTTTCTTTTTAGCCAAAAGCCAAAGTTTATATCTTATAAATGTGTTTGTAAGTTTTATAAAAATTGTGTCCTGTTTTTTACTCTCTAAAAGTGAACCTAGAGAAGTCCATGTAGTTCATGTGCTTTTGATTTGTTTAATCAACAGAACATGGTTCTTAAAAGAAAGTATGGACAACATGAATAAATAAAGGAGCTAGTAGCATGGTAGGTCCTAAAGGGTTAAAGTCTAATAGGTAAAGAAACGGTTTTATGAGGCTTGCACTCTTCTTCATTTTCTAATGCTTAAAACTATACCTTCCTTACTATCCTTTGTCTCTCTAGTTTTTGGTTCATTACTTGGAGAATATTTGCTTATTTTTCTCTCTTTAAGTTAATACTTTTATTATGAACTTAAATCTTTAGGCCTTAAGAGTTTAAGGACTAGGATCTACACCAAGTGAAACAATGTTGGTGTCCTTAATGGATAGATTTCTACTCACAATCTACATCAACATTCAAGCCTCCCATTGAGGATTTAAAGGCTACAAATGGTGTTATGTTTTTATTTCTTATTTGGTTGGTGTTTTACCATCCAAACTTTGCAAGAAGATTCTTAGTGGGTTTAAACTAGTTTGATGTTATTCAAAATTTAAAATTTTCTATATACTAAAATCTTGTGTTTTTTGAAACTAAATTTTAATAAAAAAACCAACTATTGGTATAAGAGTCATACTTGCAATTTTGGTTAGAACTTTTGATTATTAGGATAATCTTGGTGTTTGGAAAATATAGATAACATGTTTTTGCAAGAAAAGAAGTTCATTCAATTTTTTTATGACAAAGGTTGTGTTTTATGTTAGATGTATTTTAGAGTGCATAAACAAGACTTGGACCATTTGTGTTATTATTTGATGGAGACTTTTAAAAATAGTTTGTAATATTCTTTTACTCATAAAGTATTTAATAATAAGTAGCGAGTTTTTCATTTTTGCTATTTTATGTAACATATTAGTTTTAGAATAGATTTATTTTATGTAAAATATTACAAGATGACGAAGATGACCATTTTTGAAGATCAAGAGGAGGCCCACAGTATTTTAAAAGATTTTATAAAAGTTTTGTAACTTTTATAAAATCTTGTAAAAGTTGCTACAAAGTTGATTGTTTGTGCAAGTGGAAGCTTAGAGTCAACATGAAGATCATCTGGTCTCCTTTGTCCCTTAGGAAAGGATTTGACATTTTTGTGCAGGCTCACAAAAGTTTCAACTAGATTACGACTTGTTTATGTTTTAATGCATGCTTGTGTTTTTTATTTTTGAAGTAAATGGTTTGTGTGGCTGATAAATTAGATTTTATGAAATTCAAACTATTTTTTTGGTAAAAATAAAAATCACATGGAGTTTGGTTTTCAAAATTTATAGGGTGAGCATAAAATGTAGCAAGTTATAGTTTTAAAATAAAAACCAGTTTTTATAATAATGTTATAATTTTGAAATACTAAATTAAAGTCATAAAATGGTGATTTTTGAAACATATACAAAATCCTAATATCTAAGTAATAAAAGGAAGTTTTATTAACTATACAAAGGTTCTAGACCTCACAAACTCGAAATTAATACCGGTTATTAAATTTAAAATTGAACCACATCAAATTATGTAAAATTAGCTTTTTATATAGAACCTTAACAGTGATTTTCTTTTTGAAAAATTGATACCATGGTTTATTATATGAATGTAATAACCATGATATCATATGTTTTTGAAAATTGAATTATAAAACATAAAAGTCCCCTTATAAACCACAAATCAATGCAATCTGTTTAAAAAAAAAACTGATACATCTCTTAATATGCTAGTCGTAAATGATACCTAACCGTTTAGTAATATCTTTTCATGGTTGGTATGTATTCTTAATTTCTATAATCAAGTTATAGGCCGATTACACAAATTGTTCAACTTGGATGATTTGATCAGAAATTTTTTATTGTATCCTTCTGATAAAGGATACGTAAGGAAAAGAGTTCTAAGGCATATATATGATCAAACATGTCTATTGGACTTTGTTATCAGTGATCCCATAAAACTAGGAATTATAAAGTAGAATATAATTGATAATCGATGTCTACATAGTTGGATTCAAATCAATGGGATAAAGGTCACCTAACCATTTTTTTGCAACTCAGATCCTAGACTTTGATAATTAATGTTTTTGGAAACTAAAAAGGTTATTAGTTATTAAAGATTTAAATATCGAAAAATACGAAATGAATTTTGTTAAAATTTTGTAGATAAATAATCCATTCTCCTTACCATTAATTTTCATATATTTAATGATCATAAAAAACAATAACATTCAGTAGATACAATTTCAATGAATGGGTTCATGTCTTGAGAAACTGAAAATTATGTACTCTTAAAATACTTAGTCCTAAACCACTTGTTTTGAGCAATAGACCTGATCATGATACCTAATAAAAACATCACTATGATGCTTAAGATGCTTCTTAGATCATAATAGGAACAATTATTTTCGAATCTCTGTCGACATCCTAAGGCGTATATATTTGAAACTCAGTCGACGTCCAGAGGCGTACTTTCGAATCATCTTAGAAACTCTGGTGACACTCAATGGGTACACTAATTGTATTTCCGAAGTCTTGGCGTCATCCAAAGGCGTTATTCCGTATTCGTATTCGTTCTATCCTATTAGCTATATTCGTATCCGTATTCGTATTCGTTCTATCCTATTAGCTATATTCGTATTCGTATTCGTTCTATCCTATTAGTTATATTCGTATTCGTATTCATATTCCTAGTCCTATTCCTAATCCTATTCGTATTCGCATTCGTATTCGCATTCGTATTCGTATTCCTAGTCTTATTCCTAATCCTATTCGTATTCGTATTAGTTCTAATTGATGATTAGTATGAATTATTCAAAGATTATGAAATATAATTTAGATTGTAACACTTTATCAAGAAATCTATTATTAGTCTAAAAGCTAACTTCGTAATTCGAACTAATTGATCAACACAGTTTTCGATATTAAAAACATACAGGATATAGACATTTGAACTGAAAATAATAAGTTTTAGTACAAGATTTCATTGTACTTTTGCTTGTATTCCCCCCTAAAAACATTTGAAAAACATTTGAAAAAGAGTAGGGGTATGAACTCACCGGTCGAGAAGCGTGTCAGATTGGATGCTAAGTGTCGGTTCAGGGCTTGATAACGCGTGAGGTTCCTATGTAATACGAAATGATATAAAAATGTATCTAATTAGACTTTAAATCACTAATTAGATGTGATTATACACTCCAAGACGCGAAAACACTTCAAATCATGTGTTTGGAGTGACCCGGGTGACATCTAGGGATGTATAAGGCTTGGATATGGATTTTACTCCTCAAGAGTAAACTCATAAGAGGGTTTACGGCTCTAATGACCCATTCCCCATGAGTTTACGGCCGTAAACTCATGGTGGGGTGTTCTATGGTGCTAAATGGCCTTATATGACTTGGGAAAATTGGCTAGGATGAAATCTAGGGCTTAGGAATGGATTAAACTCACATATGGACCATTAAACGGAGTTTAAGTTTTAAGGCTGTAAACATCCATGGGGGTAGTTTTGGCATGATTTAAGGTCCTTAACTTGACTGTGGTTGCTTCTAGACTCATTTCTAAGGCTCGTGGAGTGTTTAAGTGGCATTTTAACACATATAAATGAGTTTAAGGTCTAAGGAGATGAGTTTACGGTCCAAGAATGTTCTTGGGCCGTAAAATCAAGCTTTTCCTATTTGTGTGAGTTTTGGAGCATTTCTTGAAAGGTTATAAGGTTCTACACTCTCATGGAAGCTTGTTGGAGGTGTTTAGGGGCAAACTAACACCTAAAAATGAGTTTATTCACCATGAATTTGTGTTTACGGTCCAAGCATCTCC